TATATAGCTCCTGCTGCTGAATGCAATTGCTAGCTACCAGGGCTACATTTTCCTAGGAAGCTCTTATAAAGAAATGACAATAAATAAATTAATAAATAAATAAATTTGAATGAAGTTTGATGATAAAAACTGAACCTTCCTTCACAAATGTGAAAACCTGATATACTTGATTAGTTGAAGCAATCCTTTTTAGACAGGATTTACTTTTAAGTTTATTTTATGGGAATATTTCAATTCCCACTGGTTTGGATCCAACAGGAAAAAATAACTCTGTCAAGAATTTACGGCAGATGCTAGTGAACACGTAGTATGGCAATGTTTCACAACAGAGATGGCTAAATATGTGCAAAGAAAATAAAAGAATAATATGTGTTAACTATTGAAGCACTGTGAACTTCAAGTAATGAAAATAAGCTATTTTCCCTCATAACTAGGTATTGGATTTTCTTGAGGCATAGATGAGTATCTATCTCATTTGATTATAATGTAGTGCTGCTTTCACAAACTTTACACATTTTTGCATGTGACGCCACACATTTTGGCTTGTTTAAATGCACAAGAACATTTTTCTTGAAGACTCTAACAACCCTGTATCTAAGTCACATCCTTCCTATCCAAAAATCTGTTGGGAAACAGGTACATTCACTAGCAGTGTATCATGCCCTAACAAAAGTCCCTTCTAGCAAACTGTCCTAGCTTCAAACAGTTTCTTTTTTCAGGACTGACATAGAGGTTACATCTACCTGACATTTTATCTTAAAATTTTACTTTATCTTCACACGAAACTTCTAGGCATCAACATTGAGTCTTAAGCAATCCAAATATCAGATACACAAGTTCATTGCTTAGATATGGTCATAATCACAAGACATGATTGTTATTTCTTAACTGTTATTTTAGTGCACTGTTCACAAAGTGCATCTCTAAAGCTGTTTTACTACTTTTCAAATGTAGTAAATTCAAATTTCAAAAATACATTTGGTATTTTGAGTAAACAGTTGAATGGAACAATTCCCATTTACAAGATGTAATACACTAGAGATGTCTTATCCTACATTTAGCTGTCCAAATGATCTTGTATAAATGATGACTTCTTGAATTGCTTAGTTGTGTATGAATAGAAATGAATATGAATAGAAAACAAGTCACTGAACTACCTGTTTTACTGGAAGCAAATTTCATACCTGAAAAAGAATTTATTAATTTTTCTGCTGTGAGGCGAAAACCCCACCGATATTTACGATGTTTTACAATGATAGAACATATATGATGTAAAACTTATATGCTTGTTTGCTTCCTTTTTTTAATAGGAACTCATAACCACATTGTACATTGGATTCTTGGGATTAATTTTTTCATCCTATTTTGTTTATCTTGCTGAGAAGGATGCAGTTGATGAGGATGGGAAGACAGGTTTCTCCAGCTATGCTGATGCCCTCTGGTGGGGTGTGGTAAGTCTTTACCAATAAAATGTCTGCACAAACTTAGTACATGAGATTTTCTGTTCAAGTTGTGAATTTTTTAAAAATCTGTAATTTCTTTCCTTGCAAAATATATTTATATATAGAAGCTCAACAACCTTTTAAAAAGGTTACAAGAAAAAATATAATACAATTACATTATTTTGGTATTAAAATATATTGTGAAAGCATGACAGCAAGTCCGTAGCAAAAGACATTGAATGTTTACAGATGCAAAAAGTCCACATTGAAATCCACATTTCAAAAGAGTATAAATACCCTCCAAAGCCTATACCACTTCTTTTAAACTCCACTTACTTATCTGCAAAAGGTGTGTAACTTTAAAAGTATATTCTATTATTTGTGGAATTTGGATTAATAATGCTATTCTGTTGGATCTTTTTCTGTAAAGCTCACTTTCTCAGTTTTAACACAGACCTTGATGCAAGTTACAGGTTCTGTGGTTTTTTAATAATTTCATGATTCACTGTAAAGGTAAATAGCTCCATCAAAAGCAGCTGACAACTATTTTGGATATCGACCATCAGTTAGGGTCAGTGCAAATCTTTAGTGAAATAAAAAAATATCATTAAGGGGGAAGTAGGAATTCGAGAGTACTGTGATAATTATTGCGTGCATGCCCAGAATCAGAGGAATAGATAGCTATGAAGAGAATACGAGACCAGATTGTTTCTACACTCGCTTCATATGGCTCTTCTCATCATGTTTCTCACTGTGACTCATGCTTTCCTTCCTTATTAGCTATTGCATGAACCACTTTTCTCTTGTGGTTCCTTTTCACCACTTAAGAACCTCATATATTTTATGAATTGGCTGTCTCATTATAACAAACCCAAGAAGATCCATCATGTCAGTTTTAGTGACAGAGAAAAGGACAGGACTGGAACAGATGCAGAGACACTGACTTCCAAAGAGAGAAGGATACATTGCAAGAGTGATTTGAAACACAATAAACTGGATTTGTTCCTAGATGATAGACTTGGAAAATGCTGATATAATTATTGGGCCATAAACCAATTGTTTAGCTGCAATCAAATCAAATAAACTGGCAAATAAGTCCGGGAAGGCAGCCAAAAAGGTCCTAATAGATATGTTTCTTATTCTTAACTTAGATGCTGCGTAAGCCTCCACCTCAGTGAAGTATACAGAAATACAGATTATATTACATGTAGCCTAAGTTACCACTTTTTAAGTGATTCAGTATAAAAATCTTTTAAATATTAAATTCATGTCATTAAGTTGTCAGGCAATCATTTCATTTGCAAAGTATCACCTTGGCTGTGCAAAACAGTACAAACCAAGAAGAGTCTAGTAAAAATGAAAAATCCAATAAATGGCCAGATGGACCTGATTATCTAATGTGCTGGGAAAAAATAAACCCATGAACTAGCCTATACAACAATCACTTGTGAAAGTCCTCAATAAAATATGATAAAGTTTTCAGAATATGAAACTTTATAGTTGTAGATACGGGATAACCTCTAGCTAGCAGAGGAAAAGGATAAATGTCCCAGAAGCAGAGACCGTGCTGTATTTAAAAAAGAAAAGTAAAAGAATTAGGGTGTAATTGACATTATGAAAGATACCCCATGTCTACTTTAAGAAAACAAACCAGTGCAGACTCACTTATTCTGCTATTACTTGAGTAGTTTAGCTCAAGTACCAGTGTTCAAATGACTGAACACAGTGGAATGCAGCTACTGTTTCTGCTTTAATTAATCGTCTAGCTGAATAGTCTGTGAAGTACGTCTAATTAAAAGTGAGGCTGCTTGTGACAAGTTCAGCAGTATTAGGGGCTCCCATAAAAGTCTGTGCTAGTTCAGCTAAATCTGTGAGAAATATCTCACAAATTTTTCTAGCATAGTGAAGTTCCAAAGAGGCTTGTAATACCATATGAATTAGAAAGACATCAGTGAAAGAAATGGAAAGCATATACTTTATTAGTATGGAGGTCTTAATTTAATATGCAATCATTAAAGGATAGTGATTTATGTTTGCTCTGCACAATGTCTTTGGTGTTTCATAAAGTAATTCCTAGGCCTGTAACTGCAAAAGGCCAGAAATGCCCAATTTCAGACCTGAATGGGAAGGAAGAAGAACCCTTTACCAAACTGAGGGGAGCAAGGCAAGAGTAGAAAACAAAAAAAAGGGTTTCCAGCAATCAGTTTGGGAACTAGCTATGGTTTTTTAGCATCCAGTTCTGCCTGTGTATGTTCATGCAGGGGTTATTACTGCATGTAATAAAACTTTCATGTGAAGCCAGTGTGCTTTTTCCACCTTTACTTCCCTTCTATTTTTTTAATTTTTTTTTTAGCTCTAGTAATCCAAAACTTGCTTTATGAGTTGCATTGAATGTTCAGATATGGATTACAATATATTTTTTAATGCTGGAAGACACAGCCGTGATTTGACTAAAGAGTAAAAAATTAAGGTAAAAAAAGTCAGGGTGTGTTTATATAAGCATATTTTGTTAATAATTTGGGCGTAAGGAATTTAAAAGGAGTGCAGTTATGAAGACCAGCAGATAAGTTTAAAATGTGTATTACTTTAACTTGCTGACATGGATGACTATGTAATTCACAGCATATGCGTATGCCTTGCAAAGTGTTTCATAGGTTTTGTTGTTGTTTTCCAGAACTTTATTGGTTTTGTGTAATAGCAAGATAAAATCAGCTTTCTCTTTCTCTAGCTATGTGAGGCACATGAACACTGTTTAAATTGTTGTTTGAGCTTTTCAGACATCTAGGCCTCCTCAGCATTAGGGAGTCACGGTGCAGGTGCAGTTCACAGCTGGGAACAGTGACAAAGGACAAAGTGAATCAGTTTTTTTTTTTTTCAAATCTTCTGTAACATAGAAACACACATGTGGAGTTACTAGGGATTGAAATTTGATTTCACTTTTGCCTTTCAAAACTGAACCTTAGGAAAATAATCTTGGTAGCAAGTATTTGAAAGTCTTACTTGTCTGACAAAAACCACAGTGTGTATGGGTAACATTTTGCTTTGAGTAGAAAGTGCAAGCTTGCTGAACTTGATACAAATGACCTGAAAGGCTTAAATATGAAGAAAAGGGAAAATAAAGAATGAATGAGAGTTGGAATTAAATGCTAACTACACTCACAAGCTCCAGTTAAATGCAAGGTTGTTTCACCTAGAGTTGGCAGGCACACAGATTAAACTGCAAAGAGATATTAAAGGCTTATGGTATTTTATACAAAACCACTTTCAGAAGTCATAGCATGTTAGAACACATGCAAAAGCATTTCCAACAGCACTGTCAGTCTACCAGTGTTGCAACCCATATCACAGCAGTTTTTGTCCTTCTTGGGCATTTTTCCTTCAGGAAAAAAGGGCATGCAGGAGGCATGCAGGAGGCTTTTCTGTTGGTTCTTCCATGCTCCTCTCCTGCTGATAGTAATGCTTATTGGTTTTGCTGTAAACAGGACTATTCTGTACCACTGAACTTGAGTTAAATAGTTGTTCTAATATGGGTTAGCTGACAGAGGTACTTGGGATTGATTGCTCACAATTTCCAGTAGTATATTTTTATGCCAGAGGCAGCAGTTTGAACTCCTTTATATTTACTGGGGTTTGACCTGTGCAATTCTGACTCTTCAAACTTCAGGACATCTGCCTATCTTAAAGCACGAGAGAAGCTCTGTTGACTTCTAAATTAGAGTTCTTCTGTTTTTGAAGTGTACATATATGTTTTCAGAGCTTGTGTTAGAACATGTGCATACCAGCTGGAATGTGTCATAGTAAATCAGTGTTGCAAAGGAGGTGTCATTTTCCAAAGTTTAGTTATTAAACATTCTCTGAGCAGACAACTAATAACTTTTGGATACACAAGGAGAAAAACATTCTGGTTGTGATTAAGAAAGCCAGAGAATTATATTATTTATAATGCTTTCCACATACTTCAATGCCCTAATTAGATTACCAAGAAGTAACCCTCTTAAGGTAGCCAGGGATAAACTTTCTGAGACATGTTCAGGCACCTGCAGGAATCTGCCAGCCAAATGCCTGCTGTAGAGATGGAAAATCATCTTTTCTGTGGTTACAGCTTTCATGCTGTCTTCCATGGTAACGCTAAAGCAGTTCAACATTACTGCAGTTTGGTTTTAAGTCCTGAGTGCTGGAGAACTAAAAAAAACCCAACCCCACCAAAAACCAACAAAATCCCCCAAAATAACAAGAAGCCTTTCATAAGAAAAAAAAGAGAGGAAAAGGAAGGAAAAATCCCAGACTTTAAGGGGTCATCTGGGTGCACTGAGGAGTTGAAGTGCTGTTAAAGAAACACTACCTTAACTTCCTCCACTCCCCACTAATACATACTGTATTTCAAAGTTGAATTTTGGAGGCTGGCAAACTCATCTGTTTGTACTGCTGGTAGTACACAACACCTAAGTCATTTCATGGGCAAGCCATATTCAATCTGGACAAACACCTGGCAAGACAGAGCTCCTGCTGAGAGCAGTTTGCAGTTCAAAGTAACAATATTCATTAGAGGATGTAGGTACCATGAAGCTGACTTTATCAAGTGAGAAATTCATGAGGAATAAACACTAGCCTATTTATTTTACTTTTCTTTTTTTTTTTTTAACTTGTAAAAGCTCACTTTGATAGTAGTTGGTCAACCTATGGGCTAGCTTCCATACTTGACCTCAGACTTACCTCACTACCTTGATATCACTGTGTCCAGTTCTGGGTTTCTCCGTACAAAAAACACAAGGAGCTACTGGAAGGGGTCCAGAGGGAGGCCACAAGGATGGTCAGGGGTTTGGAGCATCTTTGATATGAGGAGAGACTGTGGGAGCTGGGCCTGTTTAGCCTGAAGAGCAGACTGAGAGGGCATCTCATTAGTGCGTATAAGTATCTCAAAGGTGGGTACCAGGAGGATGGTGCCAGACTCTTTTCAGTGGTGCCCAGCAACAGGATGAGGAGCAATGGCCATAAACTGAAACACAAGAAGTTTCACCTTGACATGAGGAAGAACTTCTTTACATTGAGGGTGGCAGAGCACTGAAACAGGCTGCACAGGGAGGTTGTGGAGACTCCCTCTCTGGAGACATTCAAAACCCACCTGAACCTGTTCCTGTGCAACCTGCTCTAGGTGGCCCTGCTTTGGCAGGGGCTTGGATTGGATGATCTCCAGAGGTCCCTTTCAATCCTGAAGAATCTGTGATTTAAACTCTTTGCTGGATATGACCGCTGCTGGTGAATCTATCCCACGGTGGGGCTGGACCCAGGGTGGTGAGGCCCCTGTCCCACCAGCTGTGGGATTCTCTTGGCTTGCCTTGAGCTCTTTCCTTGGGATCACAGCTGGCTCTTGTTACATTACAAACCCTTCTGATGGACCAGCCTTCACCTGGACCCTGATTGCCTCACAGAGCCAACTGTTCACTGACCACTGGGCTCCTAATGAATTCTTTTCCACCCTACTGGTGGTCTTTAGAAACAGCCCCAAATGTCTGTCCCACTCAGGATGTCCTCTTCTCTGTGGCTTTTCAGGGGTGGCCTGAGATACCCACACTAGTCCCTCTACAGCTTGTGGGCTGATAGCTAGAATTTGTCTCATCCCTATGGATCCATATGCTGACAGCTGGACCTAATTCTAACCGTGACCTGTGAGTGGACCTCCTGGCTTGATGTTGGACCTGCCTCACAGTTGTCTGTGATACTGCCTTATAATTTGGATTCCTGGTTGGGCCTGGCTGTTTTTTCTGCATTTGTTTTGTTTGGATGCTGTGGGACTGGGTCCTGGCTTGAGAGGCACTATCCTACTGGTTTTGTTATCCCCCTTGACTCCGGGCTCCCTGTCCCTTAGGTAGTACCTGGTTCTTGCCACACCATGATAAGTAGGTCCTGTGATTTAAACACTCTTCAGAGTGTCAAAGAGCTGTATTTGTGGATGGAGGAAAAAAAGCTGAGCATGTGGCTTAGCTGTATTTAGCTCCTCATCTCCTGGCATACTTACTTTGGGAGATTACATGTCCTGGAATGGTTATGTGTTCCTTCTTTTACTTTGCTGATTCAGATAGGATGGTGTTAGTCTGTACCTTTTCCTTCCTGCCAGCACAGGGCATAGCTTTTGCCCTGCTGCAGCTAGTGTCTCTGCCTGACTGCAGAGTTGGGCAAATGTCTGTCTATTAAGTGTGTGCAAGTCAGCACTTTCAAGGCTTTCTTCTCAACTCTGTGGAACTACATTTTAGAAGCAAAAGCAGAAATACTGGAAGCCTATGATATCAAGCCCACAGGGCCAATCCTTGCAGTTTTGGGAGGGTGGAAGCGACCAGCTACAAACTGAGAACAGCCATCCCAGGTCCAGTCTACTGTTGCATCCAAAACACTTGTGAATCCCTGCTGATGAATGTAAAAACAGGATAAAGCTCCAGTGATGTTTAGCATACTCCTGTGGTTTCCTTATGCAGAAATCCAAATGCTGTTTATCCATATATACCTTCTGATGCTTCTCTACTTTTTTCTTTATTTTTTCCCCCTGCCTTTTTGGGGGGAGGGGGCAAAAAGGTACTGCATTGTAATGAATCAGATGTTTGTTTCTGGCTTAGGTAACAGTCACAACAATTGGTTATGGAGACAAAGTTCCCCAGACATGGATTGGGAAGACAATAGCTTCCTGTTTTTCAGTATTTGCTATATCTTTCTTTGCTCTGCCAGCGGTAAGCACAACTTGGATCCCCTTACTAAAGTGTCTGTCTGACTTGGGCTCACAATTAGGTAGTTTTAAATTGGTGCCTTTGGTAGGAAATAATGGGGTTTGGTGTTGCTTCAGAATGTGGACGCACACATCCTCAAGCGTATTTTTTTGTGTCTGTGCACATACACACGCAAATGAATGAAAGTACTGTATCTTTACTGCAGTTGTTTTAGAGATGTGGCCTAGAAATGAGGTAAAAATAATTTTCACTACTTTGAGAACTGAGCTTTTTGCGTCTTCAGATAAATGAATGGGGAGGGAAATGAGAGGAACATCAAAATAATTAGAAAAGACTAGCTATCAATTTTAGCAGAAATGATGAAATTATAACGCGTATCTTTGGCTTCCGTGCTCAATTTGCCTTGAAAATCACACTGGGATCTGGCTTCAGTTGTGGTTTGTTCTTTGTTGGTGGTTTTGTTTGTTCATTTGTTTTCTCTTAAGGAATTAAAAATAAGTGCAAAGAATAGCTGTAGATCAGTCATGTGACACTGACATTTGCTTCTGCCACCATTGGGTAGGGCTGCCTTTGGAACGTGGCAGTGTCTGACTAATGTTACCTGTAGATCACAGCAATAAACACATGCTGTTCATTGAAGTTACATGATGCCAATATGAACATGCTCAATTTCAGATTTATTTGTTGAAATAAATAGAATTCTATCACTGTGGACATTTGAAAATTCAGAACATTTTCTGGGAAAATCTTATAAAATGTCTTTATTTCATATGCCAAGTAGTTGGTCTAGGCATGTGAAGATGTACTGGAGTACGACTAGTAATTTTGATTATATTTAGGGTATTCTGGGATCTGGTTTTGCCCTGAAAGTACAGCAGAAGCAACGTCAGAAGCATTTCAACAGACAAATCCCAGCTGCAGCTTCTCTAATTCAGGTAAGTTTCCTAAGAGTAAAATGTTTAGGTGAGTTCTGGAGAGGGATTGTGACCTAGTACTGAGAATCACGGTTACTAGACTTTGCTATAAATCTATGACTTGTGCTTAACCACTTAGTCTTTTTGATCCACTTCAGTCACCAGATAGAATTAGATAATTGCCTCTCCGCCCTCTTCTGAGTGAGCATGGGAGGCTTTACAAACCTGATATGCACAGGCATGATGACACTAACTGGATGCAATGAGTCTATTTGGCAAAATAGTAAAGAAAAAAAAAATCTTTAATAATTAATTCCTAACTTCCTTTTAATATTCCCTTAGGTCCTGTGCAACTGCCAAATCCTGAGGTGATGAGTGCGTGTATATGTTTACACACAGCTTAATTTAGAAAAATGTTCTGGCATAACTGTCTGTATGATAATAGAAAGAATGCAATATCATGGTGCACAAATACTCAAACATGGACCACTGCAGAAAAAAAGGAAAAGCAGTATTCTAGGATGCTTGTGGGGATTTTATGAGGAGGTTTTGGTTTTGTTTGTTTGTTTCACTGTGGGCAGGTTAGCCCCTAGCTCCTAGCGAGAACACTACAAAGAGCGTACTTAAGATCAGTGTGTGCTGAGTGTGTTTCCTGGTGCAGATTGTATTTACCACAGTTGTATACAGGAAAGAGTATATTTTATTAGGCATGGTGTGATGTGGTACAGCACAGTTACTGCAGTCACAACCCCTTTGCAGCATGTTTACATTGATTGAAGATTTTGCTGTCAGTTTGATTTGCAGCAACATCTGACTTACCTGTCTTGCAGGACAACAGTGACTGCTTTTTCACTGATATTATTGGGTTTGGATTTTATTACAGACTCTGTGGCGGTGCTATGCAGCAGAGAAATCCTGCAGTTCCACAGCAACATGGAAGATCTATGTTACATCACCGGTGCAAAATCCCAAAAAACCACCAGCGCCATCTAGCCCTAGCCTGAGAAAACAGGTAACGGATAGTTGGCAGAGCTCTCTTCTGTTCTCGTTTTTAATTTGATTGGCATAACTTGCCAAAATTCTTATGATGTGTCCAAAGAATTTGGAGAGCCAAAAGGCATTTGCAATGGGACATTTGCTTGCTTTCCTTGTGCCAGAGCATGAGTAGTTTAGTTTCCCTTAAAATATTTCTGAGGGACAAATGTCTTCTCATCTGAAGTTTGCCCTGGTGCTCAGACAGGTGCCAATTATCCATTGCTTTATCCCCTTTGAAGTCTCCTCTACCTTCCAAAAGGTAGTGTAAGTCAATGATGACACTTTTCTGTTTTGCATTCATTTTGCATACAGGAAGAAAGGAGAAAGCTAGTTTACAAATTTACAGTAACATTCAACATGTGGCTGACCGTATCTGTGCTTTTCTTGCTCAAGCACTTCTTTCTGAGGTACTTTTATTTGGGGTGGTATGTAGAAATTTGGGCAAATTCATGAGCTGTGGCTGCAGTAAAGTGGAATGGTGTTTGTCTACACAGGTGGGATTGCCTAAACACAGTTATGTAGTTTTATTGGCAAGCTTGCTTAGCCTTCAGCACCTCTTCTAGAAAGACCCAGGTCTGCTGGAGGTCTAGCTCAGATACTCAGGGTTTCTAAAGTGATGTTATAGGCCTGGATTTAGGCAGTGAAATCACATTGATCCCTATTCTTCAGAGGAGGATTGCAGTGCAATTTCCCAACAGCACATGTAGAAATCTGCATTGACATTATCTGTATGCATATGTATATGTTTTGGTGTTGTAGCAGTGCAGTCAGTATTGAGCAGAGTATAACTTTGCCATGAGCGTAGCACTTTCAAAACTAAAGGTAGAAAAGCCACGAGGAAAGAGGTAAAGCTGAAATGGGGCTGCTCAGTATGTGCTGCTGAACAGCAAGCCAATCCATGGTTGAAGAACTGGTAAAAATAGATGGTTTTTAGTGCCCTTAGTATTTTCCCTCTGTTTTCTCTAGAGAGGGATTTCCCTAATATATCACTAAACCTGAACTTCCCTGGGAACTGCTAACCCTAATTTAAGAATACAGTAATGGTTCTTTCATCTCTTAAAATGGATTATCTTCCCTTTTCAAAGGAGGCTAATGCTTTCTTTCTCTACCTAACCTCTTACTTTAAAGACTTGAACATATATTGATCATCTTGTGTGTTTTGTTCTCCATAGAATTCAAAGTTTCTTTTCCTGCCATGAGAGCCCATAATCTTTGCCTTTAAAAGCTTTCGACTCATTATAGTGCATCCACTGTCTACAATAAATGCCCATTTATACCGTTTTTTGTCCCCCATTTGATTAATTTCAAATATGTTTAGTTTAATTGCTGCAGAGATGAACAGAAAAATGAATTCCAAAAGACTGGATGCAGACAGTAATAAAATAAGAATTGATTTACTTAGACCAAGTGGCATTGTCCCATTTATGAATATATTGAGCCTGCAGCTATTTGCATTGATATGTGCAAATACATATTCTTAATGGTGATGTTTAACTGCATAGTCGTCAAACCAGTGGCCAGAGTATTTTGCAGAATTGAGTGCAGTAGTCTTTGATCTCAGCTCCTTGTCAGAACATTACTAGAGCAGCAGGCAAATTGAAATATGGCTCTTACCTCTATTTTGAGGTGTGTGTGAATGGCAGAACCCGGTGGGATTGGAACCAAAGGGTAGGTAGTCACTAAGACTGGAAATAAATATTGTGAGAATTAGTATTTATATAGCTATGTAGAGGCAGCATTGAGGAGGTAGGCAACACATGCCATGTAGTCAGTATATGAGTGGCTGTTATGTTGGTCACTACCACTCATAAAGACAGAAAGACATATGGAGACCAGCCTTGCTGGGAAACAATTGATTCCAAACCTTCTCTTCCCTGCAGTCCAGTCCCCTCCAGCCCAACTTCTTATGTGCCGACTGTAGGGTGTTTATTAGGTTGCCCCTCAGGCCTCTAAAGTCACAGAGCTTCAACTTTGGAGGCAGAAGAAAGGTTTTATTTTCTCCTGATGTGCCTAATTCAGCCTTTTTCATAAAGATGAAATTTTCTTTAGTTGAAAAGACTGCACAGTGCCTAGCTCATAATTCAAAGTCTATGGGTATGTTTAATTAAATCTTTAGAAAGAAATTATAGCCAAGCTGGTGTACTCTGTTGGTTAGTATTTTGAGTGCCTTGAGGTTTGGACCCAGTTTGGGAAATTTTACTAGAGATTTTCAGAATGTGCTAGGTGCGTCCTGTGAATCAAGTTCTTACCAGATTTAAGTTGATAATTCAGAATCAGCCACTTTGAGAACATTAACCAAGGTTGTAACGCTTTCACTAAATTACAATCGCATTCTTTAAAGAAAACCCCAAACAACCAACTTTAAATGAATTTACTGTATAGTGAAGTTCATATGTAGTATCTTCTGATTTCATCCCATTTCTACTTCCACAGGCTAGAAGATACAAAAGAAAAGGGAAACTAGGCTGTGGTAATGGTTCTGCACCTGTAATAAATGCAGGAGAGAATGCCTTGTCTGTTCCACAGATCACTTATGATCACATTGATGGACAAGAAGACAAAAAAGATGTGTCTTTCTACATTGATGAACCCAGAGGTAATTTAATTTTACTTATGTTCAGGTTAGCACTTTTTAAGAGACAATATTAAAGTGAATTAAACTGATGAAGGGAAACTTTCTGTGGGGGGAAAAAGATTAATCAGTAAAGGAAAGTGCCTCAAACCAAGGACAGTTATATACCAAAAACAGGGGAACACAAATTAAAGGAAACCTTCAGATTCATGTGGTGTGAATGTCAAAAGAACTTTCTTGGTATACCAAAGTTAAGATGGTGGATATATTGTTAATTCTACCTTCTTCCAATTATCTCAGAAATGGATGGAAAACTGCTTCTGGTCTACCTCATCTTTAAACTTTACCTCACACAAAGCCTGAAAAAAGGAAAATAAAACAGCAAAAATATCTTTACTTTTTTACAGCACCTTCTTAAACATTGTACAAATAAATCATGATAGGAAAAGCTGAATAGTTTTATGCCTATGCCAACCATGAGGTCTTGATAAGTAGGGGTTTTCTTGCTTCGTTTAAAATATTGTGTGTCATATTTCAACCTGGAAACTGGTTGAATTTCACTGCTGTGCCAAGGTATTGCTTTATTTGTGGAATCCATTTTAACTAAGTTTGTAGAGGAAATATGGGTATGAAACAGTAATGTTTACTAGAAAGTCAGGATTTTTTCTTGAAAGCTAACTTTTCCACCTTTGTGTTGATTTCCTTTGTCTGATGGGATTGGGGGAAATTTTGCTAGTTCTGGATCTGCTAAAACTGAAGCTCAGTGGGAGACTCCTCATAGTCTGAGGAGTCATGTTCCATACCTACAGACATGTAAAGCCTTGCCAAGTTACCTGAGGTATCCAAAGATGCTGGCTTTACTCTAAAGTAAGTTATCATGTGGTGCTTTTTCTTGAGGTTTATCAAAGACAGATGAAAACCTAACATCAACTCTATGAAACTGGTACTCTTATGTGACATTGCAGCTGACATACAATTTCAGCCTGGAGACAATATGGCTGTAGTCTTGATGTGATGGCTTCTTTAATAAAAACTACTTTAAATTTTTTTTGCTCCAGAGGGAATATATAGTGCTTTCTGTATTGAACATTAATCAAAGGTAGGAGCTTCATTGGGTTGCTCTGACTTAATGGCTTCCTGGATTGTATTGTTAATACGACTGTCATGTATGCCACAGCAGTCAGTCAGATGTGGAATAGCAGGGATCTGAGAGCTGGGACATAGTGAAGCATATCTGTAGAGGACAGGTGCATCTGACTCCCATAAGGATGTAGAAAGACCTTCAAGTCTCAGCTTCATGCAACAATAGCCATGAACAGCCATTGTGGAAGAGTTTCTTTCTTCCACTGATGGAGGTTTTCATTATTTCTCATGTTCTTTGTTTTATAAACTTTTATAAATCTTGTATCTGTCACTTTGAGGTCAGAATGCTTTTCAGTAGTGGTGGTGGTGGTGTTTGACATTTCTAGTGCTTTTTATAGAGTTCTGGGAGAGAGGGTGAAAGGTGTGATGTATAAAGTCACTGCTTTAATTACATGTCTCTTAACAGAATATTACGTTTATTCTCGGCATGTTTATTAGAGCTGTGCAGCTTCTCTTGCTGACTATGTAATAGCAGATTTTGCTTAGTGTATTTTGACATTCTAGTATCAGTTGGTAATGGAAAGAAACAGCAACGTGTTGTGTAACTTATAACAGTAGAGTTAAGATGTTGATGACTATGTTGTCTGTAGCCATGATTCTGAAAATACGCATTCACTTAATCTATGTTCCTTAAACATTCATAGTTAATCTGAGCAAAGAGATTGAAAAGCCAAGCCTGTATCTCTTCCTGCCTGACAGTGAGGTAATGGAGGAAAACGAAATATTTTTTTTCCAGTTTTTCTGAAAATGTTTTCTTGTACTTTATTAGAGCTGGTCTAATTTGTTCTGAGAAACAGTCATGCATATTATTCCCCTACCAGTTAAAATTTATCTATTTTTCTTTTTTTTTTTTTCACATTTTGCCTTAGCCAGTGTTAGGCTAAGTCACATTTCATTTGATTTTCTGATTTATTCCTTCTGATGCAAAGCTTCCAAGAATGTAGCTGGCTAACTTGATTGCTCAATTGACTGAACATTCTTGACACCTCTCAAAAGTTTAAACCTGATTTCTCTTGCTGAAGTTCTTGCCAGAATTAATAGGTTTCTATTCTTGGAAAGTGGAAGTACTAGGCTTCAAGCCTGTAAATGGGAGTATTTTTTCCCCTCTCAAAAAGCTGAGAGTAGAAAAGGCAGAGAAAATAATAATAAAGAAAGGCAATTGAAAAGGGCCATGCCAGCTTCTATTTCAGTATTGCTATAGTGGAATATTTTATTCATTGGTTAAGGGGACTGGGTGTTTTAGAGATGATGGCAGACTTTGAGGTTGAATTAGGTCTCTTTTATAGGCTTGACATAGGAGGAGCAGAGCTGTTGCTTTAAAACAGCTCTTCTAGTCTGCTGCTCTCGTCAGATGTAAGAGAGACTGGCAAACGCCTGGCAAATGCAGACAACAGAATTAACAGTCTCATTAAGACAATTCCACATTCTGGGCAGAAATAGACTGAAAATGAGTTAAAATTTTCTTGATTAAGGATAGATTTACCTTCATCCAGGAACCACATTGTATGAATGCGCCTTTTCAGGAAGTTAAGGTTTTTCTTAGGATATCCTGTTCATATATCCACGTCCAAGCAGCATCCTCTTCGCTTGCGCAAAACTTGCTTAGGAGGCATGTTTTTCAAAGCTAGACAAAAATGCTATATGAAGGCTTGAGAAAAGGGAAGCCTTATAAAGCCTACAGATATGACCAACATTAAGGTTTCTGAGATACTTGGGTATGTAATAAACATGTAGTGGATAGCGCATGATGTAGAAACTAAACCTTTACATACCATAAATGATGGAATCTTGAAACAAACACAATAACCTAAAAGGAAGACAGTTCCTGACTTAGTTCCACACCATGCATGGAGTTTTGGGTGTGACTTAGCAGAGTGCTCTAGCCCTGAGAACTTGACCATCTTTGCAGGAATGGAAAGTCCAAAAGTCTTCTGCGTAATAGTTTCCTTGCTTGAAGACAAACAACTCAAAATGATTAAGATATTTAGAAAGAAATTAAAAAGGAACAGCTGAAGCAAACACAGATTTAAGAAGAACAATTCTGGAAAATAACTGTGATGCCGAAGTTACTCGGGTGTGGTGTATTCTTTTCATGGGTATCTATCGTTTCTGCTGAGGAACTTCTTCATACAAGGGGTGTATAGTTTAATTTTTTCATGTTGTGATTTAAAACCCTCAATGAATTAATCCTCACCTGAGATTATAATTGTTCTCTATAGTCTTGAAATTGATCTTTACTTGTACTTTTACCAACTGTTTTGTACATACTTCCCTGCAGCAGGGTCTGTTATCAGTATGGCAAGACATGTATGAACTCTGCAGTCTTTAATGTTCCTGTAAGACTAAAAGAAGGCACTTAAGTATCAAGATGGTAGTTACTTATAGCAAGAGTGAGCAGCAGGTCATAAAGACTGATACGAATAGAAGAAAAATAAATAACATCTGAACGTAACTCAAATCTTTTACACGCACTTGAATTTCCTCTTAAAATGACAGCTATTCATTGCAATGTATGCTTCTCAAAATGAACTGAATAGCTGTTTCATAATGCTTTTTATTAGGGAGGAAAAAAATTATAAAAATGTGAAGGTTTTTGGACCTTGAAGGTCAGCCTCCTGGGACATCTCCAGCAGATGGAATATATTATTCTCTGTCAGTTATTGTAGGTTGTATACACAACTCATTACTGTAAAATTTGTCAAAGTCACAAGACTCTTACAGTGATAAATCTCTGCTGGGGTAAAAACAGAATTCCCTATTTATCACTGTGCTTTTCTGGTTTCTATTTCTATTATATGCTGACATATTCCTCCCCTTCTCTCCCCACTCCCCTGCCCAATTTTAAAGCGAAACTACTCAAGAGTAGCTTTTCACCAGAAGGGGGGAAGAAAACTGATTTTTTTCAGTGACCCCCAGGATACCTTTGTAAGCCCTTTCATATAAAAGTGTGTAATAGTGTTAATGTTGATTTATTCTGTCTGTAATGCTGGTTTGGATGCTGACATTCAAGAATTCACCTATCTAGTAATGGATTGGTTGTTCCTGGAGAGTGGTTGCATTTCCAGTGGGAAAAAGGGCTGCTTTCCCTCAATGGTGTAGATGGATTACAATCTGCAGTGCATACAGAGAAGCAAACATGTTAAATGAAGTGGATTCATAGATTCCAGTGCTGACAACCTTACTGAAAGGTGAGAAAAAACATGTGGCTAAAATTAACAGAATAAAGCAAACAGCAAAGCTTTTGAGGGGCTGCATAACTGTCAGTAAGTCAGAAAAGCATAAATATAGAGATATGCTCCAAATTGGCAAGAGAAAGTATCCAGATACCATGCTCCTGAACAACGTCGTGCTCTTAAGGAGGTGAATTGAGCAGATGCTGGTGGTTTTGCAGTGAGAATCTATATTCAGCATAGGGCTGTTTAACTTCTAAACTTGTCAGTCAGCTCAGGACTTGAAGGTACTAATGGTACTTGTCTGTGTGTAAGAATTGTGGAAACGTACCTGTATGCCTCTCCCAGAAAGTTTTCAGTCTCTGCTGTTTCAGCCCTGACTGTCCTGAGTGAGAACTTTCAGTGAATGCTGTAGTTTATCTTGCATGACCAAAGCAGATGGTAGAACTGGGAGGGGTAACAGGGTAGAAGAGGAGTTGGAGGCTGAGCAGAAGAGAACAGCTGCCTCTGCCAAACTTACTCTTACTTCTGATTAAATCTGGCAGCTTTTGAGGTTAAAAAATTTATTTTTACTCTGTATATATTCAATTTCCTGTTCTGCCTGATTTAGGACCAGAGTTTAGATCACTGGTCACACCAGACTTGAGCAGGCATTTTGTACCAGACACTCCCAAAGACCATGAGAGCGCATAGTGCAAGAAGGTATTTGCA